CGCCACAACGCCCGGCTATTTTTTGGTTGTAGCTGTCATTGTTGTTTGGCGGGCCCAGGCTGGGGATTCGAACCTGCCACCTTAGGTGTACATGGCTGGCGCCTTAGCCGGTTGAGCTATAGGCGCCGAGCCGGGTCTCAAACTTTTAAAAAAATTTTTATCACAACCCACAGGAAGAAATCACTTTTATATCAAATGCAGTACACATATTCATAAATGTATATAAACTTAAAGCAAAAGCATCACAAAACAATATCCTTACCATATGTGTATTATCTAATTTATTATTTCATTAAAAAGAAAAGCTGGTCACAATTTACTACACTGATTTACAACCACTTGCAGTTTGAAAAACTGCCCTCCCACAGCACTTCTCTAGGATGAGAATATACAAGGCTAAGACATATTAATATAACCACTTCCCAACTAAGGATAAGAATCTTTCCAGATGATGCTCATGTATTACTTAATTATTTGAATCTGAAACATTTCTCATGAAACAATCTAAAAACTGGCTGGGAAGGGAAGTAACATTTACTGAGTGCTATGGTTTGGATGCATCTACCAAAATTCATGTGTTAGAAATTTAATCCTCAGTGCAATAGTCCTGAGAGGTGGGACCTTCAGGAGGTGATTTCATCCTAAGGGGAGAGCCCTCAGGAATGATTAATACTGTCCTCACTGAGTCATTTAAAAAGATGAGTTTAGCCTCCCTTCTCTTTCTCTTCTGGGTATTCACTCTCTTGCCCTTCCACTTGATGACACAGAAAGAAGGTACTCACCAGATGCTGGCCCCTTGACCTTGGGCTTCCTAGCCTCCAGAACTGTAAGACATAAATCTCTGTTCTTTGTAAATTACCTGATCTGAGGTATTTTGTGATAGCAGGACAAAATAAACCAAGACAATGAATATCTATTACATACATTACTTATTTTTCAACAATAATGCTGAGAGAAAGAAAATAATATGTCGATGGGAAAGGTGAGGCTCAGAGAGGTTAACTGGTATTTGATCCCATGTTATTAGGTTTCAAAATTACTCTATCTTACTACAGCATTTCCTTATGTTTATAGGGATAGCTTCTTCTAACTCCCTACTCCTGTGAAAAAAACAAAACAAACTCCATTCAACCCAAATTTAGCTATAGGATGCTATAGAATATAATTACCATTTATGGGGCTAATCTATATAGAGATTGTCCTTAATTATAACTTGGGATCTCAAAAACATTTTCCATACTAGTAGCAAGTTTCTTAATGCCCCATTTTCTCCTCAGTTTACTCCTAAAATGTGCCACAGCAATACGAACGGTATTCTCTGCAACTTCAGAGGCAGTAGGGAGACAGAGGAGATGGGGATAGCTTGAGATATTCCCAGCACCTATAGGGAAAACAGGCATTTCCAGCTTAGAGTAAAGGAGGTAGCAGGGTGTGACTCTCGAGAAATATCATCTGAGCAATCTGCCTCATTTCCCTATTCATTCAGCTCTCTGAAATCCTTCTCCCCTGCCTCCCAAGGAATATTTGGAAATAAAAGATCCTGAGAAAACAATCTCTTCCCCTTTTGCTTTGCATTAAATAACTCTGCTGCTAATGTTCAGTTACGAACTACCATTCCTAATGCAAATGCCTGAAGTAGAAACAACTTTACATTTCTACACCTAAAAATGGCAGTAGGATGGGTGGGTGACTGGTTTCTTGGGGACCAGACTTAATATTCTCATCACAAGTCTGTTTCTAGGCCTGATGAAGTAGCCTCCAAAATGCAAAACAAAAAGCACTTGCATGCCATTGTCCCTGTTAGCACAAGTCTGCCAGCTTGCCACACATCACAGGTGCAAGGAATCCTAGTCACACCCGAAAAATAGCTAGAAGTTCATCTGGGAGTAAAGGGGTCATATGTTTATATTTGTGTGTCTAAAAACAGGGTCAGCAGGGTCTGGAGACCTTTAGCTCCAGGAAAAGGACTCCTAGAAAGCAGTCATGTTAAACGAGTGATCCCATCTCAGGGTGGGCAAGGGATTTGAAGAGAAATTTCTCTAAAGAAGATTGGTGCACGGCCTACAGATATATGAAAAAATGCTCACCATCCCTAATCATCAGAGAAATGCAAATCAAAACTACTTTGAGATATCATCTAACTCCAGTGAGATTAGGTTCTATCACAAAATCCCAAAACCAGAGATGCTGGCATGGATGTGGAGAAAAGGGAACACCTCTACACCAACCAAAAATCGCATACAACAAAGATATTTGTATCAGAATGTTTACTGCAGCCCAATTCATAATTGCCAGGCCATAGAAGAAGCCCAAATGCCCATTGATCCACGAATGGATCAACAAACTGTGGTATATGTACACCATGGAATACTATGCAGCCATAAAGATGGAGACTTTAAGTCTTTCATGTTCACATGGATGGAGCTGGAAAATGTTCTTTTAAGCAAAGTATCACAAGAATGGAAGAAAAAGTATCCAATGTACACACCCCTATTATGAAACTAATTTATACCTAATAACCTAATAACAGCCTAAGAATACGGGAAGGGGGGAGAGGGGAGCGGGGAATGGGTGGAGGGAGGGGGATTGGAGGGATCACTTCTGAGGTTTATCTTACAAGGGTACAAGTGAATCTTTCTAAGAGCAGAATGTGAACATTTTAAAATAATAACTAAGAAAATGACACGAAGGCTATGTTAACCAGTTTGATGGAAGTGTTTCGGAATGTGTGTGAAAACCCCACACTGTACCTCAGAAGTGCATTAATGTACATAGTTACCATTCAATAAAAAAAAAAAAAAAAAAAAAAAAAAGAAAGCAGTCATGTTCTCTCTCCTTCCCACCTCACTCCTGAAGGACAAAGAGTGCCTCTGCTCACCTCCACTTTCCTATTATATTCTTCTGTACTCCACTTTTTGTGGTTAGGCACTTGCTAAGGTGTGAGGAAATGAATGTTTTATTAGTACTTTATTTGCATTTTTAGAGAAGATATACAGTTTCAAAAGAAACACTGATTTTTCTCAAACAATAGAAAAAGGTTTTTTAAAAAACAATCTACTGTTTTACAAGAAGAAAACAAGTCTCCTCACTAAGCAGGAGGCCAATTCAGAATGGAGGAACCAGTGAAATGGAAGTTACAAATGTAAATTCAGATTTATCCATAAAGTTCTTCTTGTCTAGTTCAGGGAGGCTCCAAATGGGTGGTCTCAGGTTAAAACTGGTAATACGCTCACAAAGCTTTCAGGGTCCCATGCAGCTTGAACACAGCAAGGGGTGGGGGTCACTCTCCAGGAGGCTGCATCTGTTTACAGAACTCATCGAATTGCTGCTGCTCCAGCTCTGTCATGACTCTGTTCAGTGCATAGATCTGAATGGGAGAAACAGACACATCTGTTAACAATGGAAGCAACATCTCTCTGGGTACAACAGGCTGTATCATCTGAAAATGCCAGAACAACACGAGTAATGGTAATGCAGGGATAGTGAGTGGGAACAGGAAAGGTAGACAACAATTGCATCTAGGGAATCAGGAAAGAAACAGAGAGGCAGGTGGCTTGATTTGGTTTTTAAGGGACTGAATAGGTAGAGATGAGGGATGGAACATGATAGGCATTGAGAGAGGACATTCCCCATTCAGTGTTAAAATATAATGGAAAAGTATAGAGTCAGTTCTGGAAACTTCAAGAATGGTAATATGAAGGATACTATAGAGTGTGGCTGGACAGTTGGAGAAGATAAAAAAAAGTATGTTGGGGTCTTAAATGCCATGCTGGCTTGGCCTGTACCTCAGTGGCTAAGGGCACCAGCCAAATACATTGGAGCTGGCAGGTTCAAATCCAGCCTGGGCCTGCTAAACGACGACAACTACAATTAAACAATACCTGGGCAGGCACCTGTAGTCCCAGCTACATGGGAGGCTGAGGCGAGAGAATCGCTTAAGCCCAAGAGTTGGAGGTTGCTGTGAGCTGTGATGTCATTGCACTTTACCCAGGGCAACATAGTGAGACTCTGTCTCAAAAAAAAAAGTAAATGCCATGCCAAGGAATCTGGACTTTGGCAGAATCTAGAGAGCTAGTAAAGATAAGCATGGGCAACTTGAATATATCTGTGCTTTGGGAAAAATAAATGGAGGCCACAAGAAGGATGAAGTGAGGGGAGGAGAGATTATAAACCACTCAGGAATCTGATCCAACAGTCTGGGAACGATGTAGTAGGAATATGACCTAGGGTAGCCAGCAGGGCTGGAAAGAAGATGGCAGGACACATTCTAAGGTGATCTTTCTTTATCCCTTTTTTGAAGATGGAGTCTCACTATGTTGCCCTCAGTAGAGTGTTGTGGTGTCACAGTTCACAGCAACCTCCAACTCTTCAGCTTTAGGAATTCTCTGTCCTCAGCCTCCCAAGTAGCTGGGATGACAAGCGCCTGCCACAAAGCCCAGCTATTTTTGTTGTTGTTGTTGTTGTAGTTGCAACTGTCATTGTTGTTTTAGTTGGCCTGGGCCAGGTTCAAACCCACCAGTCCCGGGGGAATGTGGCTGGTGTCCTGACTATTGAGCTTAGCCACCTTTCTTTTCTTTTTGGCAGTTTTTGGCCGGGGCTGGGTTTGAACCCGCCACCTCTGGCATGTGGGGCCGGCACCCTACTCCTTTGAGCCACAGGCACCTCCCTGAGCCACCTTTCTTTATCCTTGTAGTAATCTATCTTCTAAGAACAGAAACAGATCATAAAACTTCTTAATTTGTAGAAGAAAAGTGGAGGGGTATGTGTGTGTAGAGGAAATATGACTTGATGATCTGAAAAGATAAGGAAGGGGAAGAAACCAAATGAGAAGTGGGACAAATAGAAAATACAAAATAAAGGCAGAAATTAATGAAAAGATACCCAAACCTACAATAGGAAGGATCATCAAGGCTGGGCATAGTGGCTCATGCCAGTAATCCTAGCACTCTGGGAGGCTGAGGCGGGTGGACTGCTTGAGTTTATGAGTTCGAGACCATCCATAGCAAAAGTGAGACCCTAACTCTACTAAAAATAGAAAAACTGAGGCAAGAGGATAGCCTGAGCCCAAGAGTTGGAGGTTGCTGTGAGCTATGACACCATGCATTCTACCCAGGGTGATAGCTTGAGACTCTGTCTCAAAAAAAAAAGATCATCAAAATTTCAAGATTGTTCTTTGAAAATACTAAAACACCCCCACAAACCTCTGACATGATCAATATAAAAAGGGAGTGGGCCCAAACAAGTGTTATTACAAACTAGAAAGAACAAGCAACTACTGAGATAATAGAAAGGAAAACAAATGTGAACTTGGGCCAAGACACCTGAAAAAGTAAAACAATCAAAACTGACTAGAAAGCTTGAATGATCTTTAAGGAAGATTCCTTAATCTTTAAGGAAAAGAGAATTCCACATAGTGATGAAAACACCACCACAAATAATTCTCAAAAAACATGATGCTGGCCTCAAACTGGCATCAAAGGTGAAGAGGAAGCTTCTGCCCTCCCATAGCAAAAGCCAAAGCCAAGATTTAGAAGGCTAAGAAGTCAGTGCTGAAAGGCATCCTCAGTCACAAAAAAAAGATGATCCACATGTCACTCACCTCTGGCAGCCCAAGACACTGTGGGTCCTGAGGTAGCACATATCCTCAGAAAAGTGCTCCAAGGAGAAACAAGCTTGACCTCCATGCCATCATCAAGTTCCCCCTAACCACTGAGTCTGCCATGAAAAAGACAGAAGGCAACAACACACAGAGGCTGTGAAGAAGCTTTATGACATTGGTGCGGCAGGGGCAATAGCCTGAGTAGGCCTGATGGAGAGAAGGCTCCTGACTACGATGCTTTGGGTAGTGCCAACATTGGGATCATCTAAACTGAGTACAGCTGACTAATTCTAAATATAGATCTTTTCACCATTTTTTTAAAAAAGTATAATTCTGATGATGAAAATAGTAAATTTTATGTTATGTATGTTTTACCACAACCATTCAAAAATATATATGAATGGCTTAAAAAATACCAAGTAAATACAGTAACATATAAGTTTAGAAACACACAAAACTAGATAATATATTGTTATGCTACAAAATACCATTTAGCGATACATAGAGAGGTAGTAAATTAATATAGAACAAGAGAATGATTAGCATAAAATTAAGGAAGAGGGTACCACTAGTGCAGAAAGTCAGAAACCCAACCAGAATGGGACACACAGAGCTTCCAAGTTATGGGGTGTGTTCCATTTCTTTAGTAGATTGGTAGATAACAACGTGTTTGTTTTATTCTTCTCTTTTAGCTGCACATACACATTATATACATACTTTTAACATATTTATTTATTTGAGACAAAGCCTCAAGCTGTCACCCTGGGTAGAGTGCCATGGCATCACAGCTCACAGCAACCTCCAGGCTCAAGCACATCTCCTGCCTTGGCCTCCCAAGTAGCTGGGACTACAGGCGCCTGCCACAATGCCCACCTATTTTTTGGTTGCAGCCATCATTGTTGTTTGGCAGGCTGGGCTGGATTCGAACCTGCCAGCTCAGGTATATGTGGCTGGCACCTTAGCCCCTTGAGCCACAGGCCCCGAGCCCTTTTAACATATTTAAACCTTCTGCTTCATTCAGTAACTATTTAAAGAGCATTTGTAATCTGCATATTACTGTGCTAGGGATTGAGAGGAATACTAATTTCTTGGAGACCAAGAAGGCAAGATGGTAAAAGAGACTCAAAATGGGTCAGGGTGTCCAAGCCTAGAAATGAAAAGACTTTCAGTCAAGAAGGAAAGGGTTTCTAGCAGAGTCAAATGCTGCTTCTACTGACAAATGTGCCTCTTGCTCCCATTCATCTATATCTCTCCTTCACATCTGATTTTCTGTAATGTGGCATCTTTGTAGAGCTGAATGAAAACTGTGTTGCTTCCTCTCAAGGGATCTTGTCACACCTCTATTGCAGGAGACTATATTCCAGGCAATACAGATCAAACAGCAAGGAAGCTGTATGACAAAGCAAAGAGCAGCAGATAAAGGTCAGAAGATCTGTTTAGACTGCAGTCCTGACCCTCATTAACTACAGGACTCCAGCATATCACTTTACAGTGAGGATAACACCTCTTACCTCAGAGGGGCATATATTTTATATATCCCTACTTTATTCTAGGAAGGATTTGCCAAGGTTAAATGAGAGGAATACTAATACCTGCCTTGAAGTCCTATTGTGAGGACTACATGTGGGCCTGTGTGTTCAGGCTCAGCCTGGGCAGGGCACATATGAAGAGCTCCACAAGTGCCAGCTGCTGCTAGATGGCAAATTCAACATCACATTTCAGCAAGTCAATACCAGCAATTGTTCAATTTAGAGCCCACACAATAAAAGCAAGCTTGCTGCTTGGAAGCACAATGATTCCTGATCATAATCACTGCTGTTCAATGAATGCTTTCCCTGTGCCAGGCACTGTGATAAATACTTCACACATAATATTTCTATTCCTTTTAATAGTCTTGCAAGGTAGATATTACCATCCTCATTTTATCAAGGAGGAACTGAAGTTCAGAGAGGTTATGTTATCTTATCTAAAGTGACATGGGAAGAACTGGGATTTATGGAGAAAGTGGGATTTGAAGTCAGAAAAATAAACTTAGGCTCAGCACCTGTAGCACAGTGCTTACATAGCCAGCCACATACATGGAGGATGGCAGGTTGGAACCCGGCCCGGCCCCGGGCCAGCTGAAACAACAATGACAACTGCAACAACAATAACAAAAAATAGCTGGGCATTGTGGCAGGTGCCTGTAGTCCCAGCTACTTTGGAGGCTGAGGCAAGAGAATCGCTTAAGCCCACAAGTTGGAGGTTGCTGTGAGCTGTAACACCACAGCACTCTACCCAGGGTGACATAGTGAGACACTGTCTCCAAAAAAAAAAAAAAAAAAGGAAATTTAATCTATGGAAACCTGACATGAAAGGTGTTGATAAGGATGTAAACAATGTCCTCAACATCTATCCTCACAGTATACACAGAGGCCAGTTTCATACAACGGTTTCTTTTTTTTTTTTTTTTGAGACTGATTCTTACTATGTCACCCTGGGTAGAGTGCCCTGGTGTCACAGCTCACAGCCACCTCCAACTTGTGGGCTTAATCGATTCTCTTACCTCAGCCTCCCAAGAAGCTGGGACTATAGGCGCCCGCCACAATGCCTGGCTATTTTTTTGTGTGTTGCAGTTGTCATTGTTGTTTTAGCAGGCCTGGGCTGGGTTTGAACACACCAGCTTCAATGCATGCGGCTGGCACTGTAACCACTGTGGTTCAGGTGCTGAGCCCATACAATGGTTTCTTAAAACAATTCTCAAATTGTTCACCAAAGCACAAGGCAGTAAAATCATCAGGGGGCTGGATCCAGTGGGGATGGGGAGGTAAAGGATCAAACCTAGGCCTACAGTTCTCAGGTGGTCTGCCTTAATCCAAAAGAGATTTCTGCTTACAGATTAACTTCAAGCACACCATTAAGTTTAGTTATTATGTTTACTGTCCCCTCCCCTTGGAATGCAAGCTTCATGAAGGCAGGGGTCCTTCTCTGCTCTATTTTGTCATGTGTCTCAAATTTCTGGATTAAGGCTGGCATCAGCAGCAGCTATTTGTTTAATGAATGGATCAGATGAACAAAAAAGATTAAAAGTTGATAATTATCAAGTGTTGGAAGAGAAATGAGGAACAAGAACTCTCACACTGCTAGTAGGAATGCAAACTTATACAATCCCTTTGAACGTACTTTAGTAATGTCCAGTATTGAAAATGTACCCAGCCAGTAATTCTTCTAAATACCCTACAGAAATTTGAGCACAGGTGCCAAAAGAGATAACCGAAAGTTTTTCACTAAAGCAATGTCTGCAATAGCATAAAAACTATAATTTTTTCTTTTCTGGAGACAGAGCCTATGTTGCCCTCAGTAGAGTGCTGTAGCATCACAGCTCACAGCAACCTCCAACTCTTAGGCTTAAGTGATTCTCTTGCCTCAGCTTCCCAAGTAGCTGGGACTACAGGAGCCCACCACAACGCCTGGCTGCTTTTTTTTTTTTTTTGGTTGTAGTTGTCATTGTTGTTTGGTAGGCCTGAACTGGGTTCGAACCCACTAGCTCTGGTATATGTGGCTGGCACCCTAGCCGCTGAGCTACAGGCACTGAGCCAACTATAAATAATTTAAATAACCATCTTTGGAATAATGGATAAATATACTAAATAAAATAGATTCATAAAATAGACTACTGTAAAGAGTAATGAGAATAAACTAAGGCCAGGTACGGTGGCTCACACATGTAATCCTAGCACTCTGGGAGGCTGAGGTGGGTAGACTGCCTGAGCTCACAGGTTTGAGACCAGCCTGAGCCAGAGTGAGACCTCATCTCTAAAATACCTGGGCGTTGTGTTGGGCACCTGTAGTCCCAGCGACTTGGGAGGCTGGGGCAAGGGGAACGCTTCATCCCAAGAGGTTGCTGTGAGCTATGATGCCACAGCACTCTACCAAGGGTGACAAAGCGAGACTCTGTTTCCAAAAAAAAAAAGAGAGAGAGAATAAATGAGATTCTCATATTAATGGTTCTAAAACATACAAGGTAAGCAAAATGCAAAATACATTGTAGGAATTTTATTAATGTAAAAATTTAGAATGCAAAAGAATATTGTATGTTGTTCAAGGATATCTATTAATATATTTGAGTATAAACATAAAGTAGTTGCTCGTGGGGAGGGAAAAAGGCAGGAAAAGGACAAAGTGGACTTAAAAATTTATATGTAATTTTTATTTATCCTACTTTTATTTATTTTTTATTTTTTTTAGATGGAGCCTCAAGCTATCCTCCTGGGTAGAGGGCCATGGCATCACAGCTCACAGCAACCTCCAACTCCTGGGCTCAAGTGAGTCTCCTGCCTCAGCCTCCCAAGTAGCTGGGACCACAGGCGCCCGCCACAACGCCCGGCCATTTTTTGGTTCCAGCCATCATTGTTGTTTGGCGGGCCCGGGCTGGGGATTCAAACCTGCCACCTTAGGTGTATGTGGCTGGCGCCTTAGCCGCTTGAGCCACAGGTGCCGAGCCTATTTATCCTATTTTTAAAAGACTCCAGATAAATAGGACAAAATGCTAACTACTACCAGTCAGGGGTTCTGAGTACCTAAGTGTTTGTTTTAACAGTCTAGTTTTCTATATTTTAAAATTTCTCAACAACCATATAAACAAATAAGTAGACAAACAAATAGCAAGCTTTTTCTTGATATTAAATAAATTGCTCATGTCTGGATGTGGTTCAACATTGCAAATGGAAAGTTTAAACCTTTTTATTCTCAAACTCATTTTATGTGTTAAGATAACAAAGGAACACATTGGTGGGTTTAAAGCTTGGTCCTTTACCTGGTTATGAGTAGCTATTTTCTATACCAACTTTAGGAGGGGTTCCTGGGGGGGACACTGTTTAGAGGCAGAATGGTGCAGTGTTTGACATACCATTTTAGGCTTTTCTACAATACAGCCTCTAACAAAACCAGGCTGTCTCAAACCCCTGGTAATAGAATTGTTTACCTTTATACCAAGAAGGTTGGGGAAACACCAAAATCTGCATGTGGCATGTGCCCAGGCAGACTTTGAGGGGTTTGCACTATGAGACCTACAGTTCTCATGGGGTTGTCTAAAACAAAAAAACATGTCAGCAAGACCTATGGTGGTTCCATGTGTGCTAAATGTGTTCGTGACAGGATCGATCATGCTTTCCTTATTGAGGAGCAGAAAATCATTGTGAAAGTGTTGAAGGCACAAGCACAGAGTCAGAAAGCTAAATAAGAAAATGAAGCTTTTTTGAGTAATAAAAGTTAAATGACTTAAAAAAAAAAAAAGGGGGTGCCTGACACGTGTTCTCTTTCTCATTCTGAACCTTCTCTCCCTTTATATACCGCTTCTTTTCTCCTTTCTTCTTTCTCTCAGGTCCCTACCACAAGAGCTCTGTGCCAGGAGTCATCTGGAGGCCTGGTACAAGCTGGGGTTCTGACACGAACTTGCATGTATTCTGGGCTGCCACCTCAACATTCTGGACCTCAGTGAGCTCTCTAAACCTGAGAGAATACCTGTCTTGCCTGGAGGCAAGTAGGGCTTCCCATCACAGTTCTTTCTACTATTCTCTGATCCAGCATCACCTCCAGTGGACCACAGGATAGAGTCTCCAACTTAATCTCACCTCTGCTCTTTGTCTTTGCTTCAGCTCCTGCTGGGCTGATTTCTGCTTAGCCTTCTCAACTCTGCTGACGGGTTCCTTAACTTTGGGTTTTTCTTTACGTGCAGGTGGATCCATGGTTTGGCTTCTTAGACAGGTTTGACTTGGATGGTACAGAAAGAGGCAGATCTTAAAACAAACAAAACAACAAAAAACCCACACCTGCCAGTCACTCCTCCAACTAATCCCTTAGCTCAGCCCTTCCTTTGTCAGGTGAGGGAGATGAAGTGGTCTGGTTGTCACTGGATTTTGGTGAAGTATGACCTGAGTCCCAGTGTCACATCCTAGCTGAGTGTCCTTGGCAAGTTTCCCCATTCTGAGCCTTAGCTTTTTTTCTTTCTTTTTTGAGATAGAGCCTCAAGCTGTCCCCCTGGGTAGAGTGCTGTGGCATCACAGCTCACAGCAACCTCTAACTCCTGGGCTCAAGCGAGTCTCCTGCCTCTGCCTCCCAAGTAGCTGGGACCACAGGCGCCCGCGACAACGCCTGGCTACTTTTTGGTTGCGGCTGTCATTGTTGTTTGGTCCGGGCTGGATTCGAACCCGCCACCTTAGGTGTATGTGGTTGGCGCCTTAGCCACTGGAGCCACAGGCGCCAAGCCTGAGCCTTAGTTTTTTGTCTGCAGAATGGGACTATAGTCTCTTCCCTGGCCTTCTCCCAAGAACTGCTGTGTGAGCATCAAATAAGAAGACCCAGGTGAAATCGTCTAATACACCACGGCGTGCTGTACCCAGAGTGGGACTGATATAATTGGGACACTGAGGCTCGGAGGGAGAGGCCAGATGAAGTCTCCCACCAGTCTCTGGGCTTCGGGCCAGGACGTTCCTAACACTGCAAGGCCTAACAGCGCCCCACCTAATTCCGCTCGCAGTCACTCCCGGGGCCGCCACAGGGCCCGGAGCCCGCCCCGGCCCGACCCCGCCCCGGCCCAGGGGACGGCTCCCGCCTCCCGGTCTCCTCCCTCCCGCGGAGCAAAATGGCGACGACGGCGCCCACCGAGAGCTCGGGAACTCATGCCTTTGCCTACCAGACCTCGGAGCTTTGGGGCTTCCGCCTCGTCGCAGACAACGCCCCACGAGGGGGCAATCCTGGGCCTCTCCCCGCCGCTGGATCTACAGTTCCGAGCCCGCCGCCCCTCCGACTGGGCGGAGCCGGAGGCGGGGCGCGGGGCTCCGCGCCTTCTGGCTTCCGCCGCAGAGCGGCCGCGCGTGCGCAGAGAGCATGTAGGGAACGGGCGGAGGGACGAAATATTTTCCCCATAGGCTGCTAGGTTTTGAAGGGTGACATCTGAATTTGGGGATTGGAATTCTGAGCTTCGGAAAAGTGGGGATAGGTTTGGCTGGTCCGATGGTAGTGGGTTCTCAGAACTGAGTAACGTTAGTAATACAAAAGTAGGTATAATTCCGCCACCCCCCCCCCGCCACTGCTAAATTTGGTTTAAAAAATTACAAAAATAAAAGTGGGGAGTGGTGATGGTTACCTTCTTGATTCACCAGTTTTTTAGAAAGATTAAGTGAGATACTGTTGGCCCATGCTTTAAAAACGGAATATTGACGAAGTACAGATAGCCAGTATAAACGCAGAGAAACATTCAACTTCCAGTAAGTATTGAGATGTAAATTAAAATAATTGGCTGTCATTTCCATTTATTATTATTTATTATTATTATTTTGTTTTAGAGACAGAGTCTCACTTTGTCACCGTCAGTAGAGTGCGTGGCGTCGCAGCTCACAGCAACCTCCAGCCCTTGGGCTTAGCGATTCTCTTGCCTCAGCCTCCAGAGTAGCTGGGACTACAGGTGCCCGCCACAGTGCCTGGCTACTTTTTGTTGCATTTTGGCCGGGGCAGTTCGAACCCGCCACCCTACATATATGGGTCCGAAGCCCTACTCACTGAGCCACAGGCGCTGCTGTATTTCCCATTTATTATATTAGCAAGGATTGACAAAAAAATAATAGCTACCTCTCTTTAGGACTTACTATATTTCAGGCACTGTTTTTATAGCTTTGATGCAGGAAAATGACGTGTAATGCTGGGAATCAGTTGAAGTCCAACTAGATCCTTGGATTTGCTCAAGAAAGAATTCAGGAGGAAGTGAACAAGTGAAAGCAAATTTTATTTAGAAAATATAGAAAACCTTGGGCAGCGCCTGTGGCTCAGTGAGTCAAGAGAAGGCAAGAGAATCGCTTGAGCCCAAGAGTTTGAGGTTGCTGTGAGCTGTGACGCCATGGCACGCGACAGAGGGCAAAATAATGAAACTCTGTCTCAAAAAAAAAAAGAAGGGTGGCATCTGTGGCTCAGTAAGTAGGGTGCCAGCCCCATATACCTAGAGTGGCAGGTTCAAACCCGTCCCTCGCCAAACTGCAACAAAAAAATAGCTGGGTGTTGTGGCAGGCACCTGTAGTCCCAGCTACTTGGGAGGCTGAGGCAAGAGAATCGGCTAGGCCCAAGAGTTGGAGGTTGCTGTGAGCTGTGACGCCACAGTAACGAGGGTGACAAAGTGAAAAAAAAGGAAACTATTATTTCCACTACACGGAAAGGAACAGAGGCTTTGAAAAGTTGTGACTTCCTCAAAGTGTAATTAAAGCCTTTCAGGGCAGGTGGGGTGGCTCATCCTGGCATTTTGGCAGTCCAAGACCTGTGGATTACCTGATCTCAGGAGTTCAAGACCAGCCTGAACAAACGGAGAGCCCAGAGACCCCATCTCTACTAAAAATAGAAAAACTAGCTGGCCATTGTGGTGGGTGCCTGTGTTCCCAGCTACTTGGGAGGCTGGGGCAATAGGATTGCTTGAGCCCAGGAGTTTGAGTTTGCTGTGAGCTTTGATGCCACCAGGGCACCCTACCCAGGGTGACAGAGTGAGATTCTGTCTCTAGCAAACAAACAATAAAACCTTTTTGGAGGCCAGTTTAGCACTAGTTCATGAGAAACCTTAAATATTTCTAAGAAAAAGCTGGAAAAAAAATTTTTTTTTTGGAGACAGAGTCTCACTTTTTCACCCTTGGTAGAGTGTGGTGGTGTCACAGCTCCCAGCAACCTCCAGCTCTTGGGCTTAGGTGATTCTCCTGCCTCAGGCTCCCAAGTAGCTGGAACTACAGGCACCTGCCTCAACGCCCAGCTATTTTTTTGTTGCAGTTTGACCGGGGCCAGGTTTGAACCTGCCACCTTGGTATGTGGAGCTGGTGCCCTACTCACTGAGCCACAGGTGCCACCCAAAACCCAAAATCTTTATAATAGGGGGTGATTAAATAAATTATAGGATAGCTATAATGAAATTCCATGCAGCTATTAAAATGACAGAAAAGGTGGGGCTGGGTGGTTCACACCTGTAATCCTAGCACTCTGGGAGGCTGAGGTGAGTGGATTGCTTGAACTCATGAGTTCATGACCAGCTTGAGCAAATGCAAGACCCATCTCTATTAAAAATAGAAAAACTGAGGCAAGAGGATTGCTTGAGCCCATGAGTTGGAGATTGCTATGAGCTATGATGTCTTGACACTCAGGGTGACAGACAGCTTGAGATTCTGTCAAAAAAAGACATCGAAGAGTATTTACTGACATCATAAACTGTTTGATATATTAAAGAGCTACCAAGAGGTATATACATTCAGTCTAATCACAGCATTTTTTATAGTTTCAAAATTATATATATATGGAATAGAGAGGAAATGAAAACACTTTAGAATGTTAAGAATAGGGGTTATTGGCTCAGCACCTGTGGCTCAAGTGGCTAAGGTGCCAGCCACATACACCTAAGGTGGTGGGTTCGAATCCAGCCTGGGCCCACCAAACAACAATGACG